GATCTTTTGGACAATAGTTTCCCTGTTATTAGTTGTTAGTTAATCGTGTTTAGTAAAGGTAATCACGGTCAACACTAGTATTTCTCAGATTATGTTTTGGCCAAGCCTTCAGATTATTTGTGATCACGTGACGTTGTGATATCATATCACGATCTATGCCGAAAAATTTATAAATTTATTCATAATGATAAATAAATCAAATAAAGTTCTCCCGAGTTTTGGGTAATATTTTTTGTTATGTTTTCATAATGTTAATGATTGAGTGTAAACTTATAAGTGTTTTATGCATTGCACAAAAAAACTTCTATAGCTTTAAAATAAATAATTTTAAAATATTTAATCAATATATAAAGTTATATTGTATGAAATTGTGGTACATAAAATTGTTTGCAGGCAATTAATTTACATAGTTATTTGCAAAATATGTGATCAATTTACAATTCTCATCAAAGCAAAGTCTTGCCACCAACCCAAATCTTTTTTATCGCATAAAGCGGCTCGTGATATATTTGGCATAGCTTATAATACTTATCTTTGTGTACTTAAAACCCATTGTTGAATTCCATATAAATCAATGACAAAATCGGTACCAACAACTCCAGTTGGAACTGTTGGAGTATATCCCGTCTCATTTACATTTCCATGAACAATGGGGGGGTCCCAGAAAACATCCGATATCGGAATAGTGACCCGATATGCAGGAAGATTCACTCTATTACAACCAGTGGGTGTTTGAGTATTGAATTGTACAGTTCCGAAATCCCACTATTATATTACAAAAGTTAATTTAGCTAACCGATTAGAATGTGGCAGTACAATCTTACCATCTTACCGTTTTAATATGCACTCCTGCCCCTGCTAGAGTTGGGTTGGTTGATAAGACACTTCCTGCTAATGTTCGACGCGACCATAACTTGGCCTAATGTTAAAAAACATTTTATAAACGAGCTATATAATAATGTATAAAACAATTAAAATAATAAAACAAGGTAAACCTACTATCATTCCTCTATGTGCATGGACTTGTGAAGTTGTTGTGTCATCAAGCTTAACACCGAATACACATCGCACATATTTTTCGTGCATCCAGGTTTCGCATGTTGTTTCCCAAAGACTAACTTTTTGAGCATTAGCAACCTCACAAAAAATTCTTGCGTGGTTACGTCTCTATATGAATGTATTATTAATATTAAAGTAAGTAATATTCTGATAATATATACTTATATACAAATTGAAAGTACATTTGTGGTACTGGGAGGAGGACCAGGATGAGGAATTAATGGTCGTAAAACGTGTGCTTCGCTCGGACAAACCGCGATATCAGGTGCCATTTTTTCTCCACTGCCCATTGGTTTAAAATGATCTGTAAGGAAAATGCAAACTATTAGTACAAGCCAAAGACTAAGTAAATTTAATTAAAAATCTCTTACATGGTTGACCATAAACTTCTATCGGCGGATGAATTTTCACACGATTATTTGGTTCTTTAAAACAATCTTGAAGATATGATATAACAGCCTCATGATCTTGGTTTGCCATTTCAATAATGTACACGTTTTTATTTTTCCAGTAAAATTTGTACCCGGTTGATTCGTGTCGTTCAAGAAAAGTATTATACTCCTTCACTGAAACGTTCTTCCCAATCTGAAATGGTAGACTGAAACAGTATGAGTCGGCATTGAACTGATTTTAGAAGAGTATACGCGAATTACACTTACCTTTCATTACCTAAGGGAAAGTCTGGCAGTTTGGGATAATTATGGACTAAGTTATCAATTTTATTTACCCAACGAGAATTTGAAGCAGCCATTCTAAGTTACAAAATTAAACGAAGTAAAATAAATTTTATTGCCATATGATTTAATTTATTTGACGCGTATCAATCACATGAAATTTCATCGACGGAAAAGTCAAAATCGTTCATTACTGTGCCAGTGACATGATGTCACGTCTGAATTTCTAACTATCGGATATAGTTGTAGTTTTTATTATTGGATATACAAATTTCCTATTAATACGATATAGCGTAATGCGGTATAAATCATGCAAAACATCCTAAGCATAGGGAAAGTCTAGATTTTGATCATCGGGGTTACACAAATATTTATATTAGTTTTACAATAGGGTTCAATTGAAAAATCGTCACACATTTCTTCGTTTCTTATATTTAGATCCAATAAGATTCAATTTTTGGGAAAGTTTACTTAGAAGGGTATTTTTATAATAGTATATTAAAAAAGACTACTCTAATACAAGTAATGTTTATTTATTTATTATTATTATGTTATTATTATTATATTATTATTATTAAATTTTTTAATTAATTTTGAACCTTTCAAATAATTATAAAATCCGTATACAATATTACCAAGTGTTAATGCAGTTAAGTACTTTTAAAAGCTTATTATGTACTTCTTGACTTCTATTCATTTCTACTTCTTCTATTACCTCATTCTCTTCAACTAAAACCTCTTTACCTTTATTTTCTTCAGGAGTAAGAATATTGAAACCCTTTTCTAACCTTTTTAAAAATGATTTTACATTGCTATAAATTTTGTGCTTGTAATATTCTTCACAGTAATGACATCCATGCTTAAGAATCTGATAACATTCATAGTGATAACCATGACCATATATTAATACTTCACCATTATTAAGTTTTTTATTACAATAATCACAAGTATCTTGTGATAAGAGTTTGCTGGTACTATATCCTGTTGGAAAATACTTTGAGTCAACAGTTTCTCCTAAGGTAGCTAATTTATACTCTACTTTTTTTCTTTTTTTTTATGTAATGTTTTTTTTCCTTAATTTTTATATATTTCTTAAAAATAGTTTAATAAAAATAGTGATGTTTTTTTTGATAATATTTTTAATAATAATGGTTTATAAGGATATTCTTTTGATCTTTGAAATGTATCTTTTAGTTCATTATAATTTTGTTCATCTGTAAAATTATTAAATTTATAAATATTTTTATATAAATAAAAATAAATAAAATAATTGGCATACCAATTAAATAAGCTTGTTTTATAATATTATTTATATTACTGTTTGTAGATGTATGTACACGTATTTTGCTATGTATATTTTCAATAAAGTAATTATTAAAGTTTACTAAAAATAGTTTTATTACTTTTGCAAAAAGATGTTGAATATCCTTCCAATAAAATACATCAGAAAGAAAAGCCAATGGAGACTTATTGTAGTTATATTATTTCCAATATAAAGCAACTGTCCAAATTCAAAAATAGATTCAATATATTCATTATAAGAACCAGAACAAAAAAGTGTAGCATATATATCTAATGTATATGATATAATATTATTTAATAAATTTACTATCATACAATATTCAGTATCTTTACAGGTACATCTAAATTTTAAGTTAATTATATCTCTAATTTTACACCATCCATTATAAACCAAATTAAAAAACAATTTGATTCTCTATGGTTTTGGTTTTTTTTGCAAATACTTTTTTTAATTCAAAAATAAAATAGAAAAGTTTTTCAAAGAAAGGATAAAATATTAATATAACATATTCTCTGCTATTGAAAGAAACATATAATGGTCTTAAAATTGAAATAAAAGAATTAATTCTACATGATATTGAATATTGAAAATTTGTTTTATGTAAATGTATTAATACTTTTTTAACAAATAATTGCTCAGGCCAATTTGCAACTAATAGTACTATTCTATTATATAAAATTTTAATATCCTTATCAACGTCTAATATTATTTGAAGTGCATTAATATAATCATTCATTGAAAAAAGTTTTTTTTCTTATAATCCAATCAATCAAATTCTTTTTATTAAGCATTCCTCTTTTCTTTTTACAATTGCATTGTCATAACAATGAACTGCATCAGGAAATTTTAAAAGGTGAAAATCTCCAGAAATTTTTCAGCTCAATTATCATCCAGAAATTTTGTAGACTTCTGAAATATTCTAAAAAAAAATTATAATATTCCAGAAATTTTTGCAGTTTTTCAACATTTTTTTGTAAAAAATTTGCATAGAAAATTGTTATATTTTCAATTTTTTCAAAAAGTTTTAATTAATTACAATTATATATAAACAAATTGTTTCATATTTATAATTTATTATTATTTTATTTTATTTATAATTATATTATTTTATTTATTAATTTTAATATTTACAAAAACTTTTGAAATATATAAAATTTATTCTATTGTTCATTAGTGTCATCATCATCATTATTATCATTGTCATCATCATCTTCTTTGCTATCTTCTTTATATTTATCTTCATCCTTTTTTTTTTATTTTTATTTTTTTATTTTTATTTTGTAGATTTTTGACTTTAGTTCTTTTTTTACTAATTTTTTTATATAATTTTGAAATGTTTGAAAAATTTTCTAATTCTGAAGGCTTCTCAAATAGAAATTGAGATTTTTTGAATCTTTTAGAAATAAAAAATCTTTTAGGAACTGGAGCAAAAGAATTTTTAGGAGTGGAAGCAAGAACAGAAGAATTTTCAAGAGTGGAAGCAAGAGTAGAAGAACTTTCAGAAGTGGAAGCAGGAGATCCAGAAGTAGAAGATTGGGAAGAATATTTAAAAATTTCTTTATTTTTGATTTTTTCCTATATTACACTTCCCTAGCAAAAGTATTTGTGCAAATAATAAAATTCAAAAATAATTACTAAAATTAAAATACTAATTGTGGCACAATGAGTAATCTAAATTGCACAAACTTTTTTTATTAGATTTCTCTAAACTAGAGCTATCATATGATTTATTTTGTGATAAAATTGAACGTCTATACATAGAGATATTGCGCTTCAAATGAAATTGACAAAAAATAATAAATTTATTCTTAGATCGTTACCTATACTGCATTCGATGAGTATTAATGATAGATACCAACTATCTTATATGAAATTATAGGCAGAAACAATATCTACAACTTTAATTATTTACGTTTTTCTCAGTACCTAATAGAAATTTTGACTTCAATTAGATGTGAATAAAAATGATCAAAATTTAATAAAATTTTTAAAAAATAAAAAAAATTTGAAAATAATTATATCAATAGTTTATACTTGAAAAACTTGATTATTTATTAATTTAACAATAAATATGGTATTAAGTAACCTTAAAGCCTGAAATATGGAGCATCTTTTATAAAAATTTCAGCCTTATATATTAAGAATTGAGAGA